TTTGTAGAAGCATTTTTTAAATTTGAACTAGCACCTCATGACTACACCACGTTATGTACGAGAAGCTGCAGAAGACACAGGCGCAAGTGGAATGTACAAAACATGGTGACTTTAATTTTTAAGTAAATATAATGGGCAATATATATTGCGTCACCAAAAATGATTGAGGTCATGTACATATATTGCGCGAAAAGTCGATATATTGATTATTGCGACAGGCCTACTGAGTGGCCGCGATCAGCTCCGGTGGCCGTGGAGCCGTATGCGCCGCAGAAGCGTGCCGTGATGCACAGATCAGCTCTAACGTCACTGAATCTGCTGTTAAAAATGAACCATCCATTCATCATATCATCATGCAAAACTAAGAATTAGAATCATTGTAATGTGACGATCAAATATAGGTGCGGTGGGTGGTGGGTGTATAATTTATTTGAAGTAGGGGACTCGGGTGAAGTTTGAGCTCATCCACGCATCTCTACACTACACTGACCTGAGCCACCAGTAGCAAACAATGGAGCGAGCTCTGCTGGACAAACTAAGTAATTACACCATTTAGAAGCATTTCATCTGCGTTATATGTTCTGTGAAAAAAAAATCATATTCGCCGATACCGATCTGCGACAGGCTTATATCGGCCAGTAATATCGGCAAAACGATATATCGGTCGGGCTCTACAAAAATCTACTGAGAGGTTTGGAAATTTGAGTCTGGAAAAGTATGGAATTTTGAAATGGAAAATGTGTAGGAACCCTGTAGTAATCTTCTTTTGTCTTGGCAGATGTAAGAAAATGGTTACCGCATCAAAGAGATTCACCATTCATCGCAGTTCTAATGTTCTCACCATCTCGCTGAAGCGGTTTACCAACTTTAATGGAGGAAAAATTACGAAGGTACACTGCATAAAAGTCATAACTGTAAATGTATTAAATGCCATCAGTTAATGCTTTAATTTGGCAACCTTAAATATGATAATTCTTAATACTTCACAGGATGTGAGATACACAGAGTATCTAGATTTGCGCCCATTCATGTCTCAGTCTCATGGGGAGCCACAAATCTATGCTCTATATGCTGTGCTAGTTCATTCTGGCTTCAGTTGCCATGCTGGACACTATTACTGCTACATTAAGGTAAGTCATTAAGTACAGACCTGCATCCTCTTTTATTATGTGCTTACAACATAACATATGTATAAGTAATACAATCCTCTATTTCAGGCTAGCAACGGGCAGTGGTATCAGATGAATGACTCCTCGGTATCTCTCAGCGATTTAAGAACAGTGCTTAATCAGCAGGCTTACTTGCTGTTCTACATCAGGTAAAGGTCTTAATTCACTTCCCGTGACTTAAATGGATAATTTGTGTTTCTGGGGCTAAGGGTGAGTCTCATCAGTAAAATGCTTATTTTAATTCAGGTCACCTGATGCGAAAAATGGAAGTGATTTTAGCCAGATGAATCATACTCCAGGCCAGTCGTCTCCTCGACCATCCATTCCAATCAAGATGAATGGGCCTCAGTACACCTCCACATCTTTCATTGGCCCTCAGCTGCCACCTCATATGCTGAAGGTACTGCAATACAATAACACAATCAAAAAAATTACAATGGTTTAGCAAATTAGCCCTAAAGCTAAGCTAGGTTTGCTTCTCTTCACCTGGTCACTCTTTGTGTACTTTGTAGAACTCGTCATACATAAATGGGAATGGTTCTTCAAAGGAATACCATGGTGGTTCCAAACCCAACAGAAGTTTCTGTGGTGTGACCAAATTAGGCTCTGGCCTATCTCATACATCCTCTTCTGCATCCGCATGCTCTTCTACTTCACTTGTTCAGCCCATGGGTATTCCTGACTCATCCAAGAGGCCGAAGTTGACTTTTCTCATTGGTCAGGGCAAGCCTGTGAAACCTACTCAGACCCAGTCAAGCCCTAACTGCTCTTTATCTTCAGCCTCTCACCCTCAGCCCACATCTTCCAGCACCTCAGTGTCTACCTCAGGCTTCCCGCAGGTCAATGGAACTCACACTGGAGCTTCTTTCTTGGTTCCTTATGGTCAGGAGTCATCTGAGGAATCCGACCAAGAGGCTGGAGCCTTGGAGAATCGATCAGTTAAGCCTTATCTTGCTCCCAAGATAACCAATGGGAATGGGGTAAAGGATGACACCCAGTCCCACAATTCCAGTTCACTGCCTCAGCTTACCCCGAAGACAAATGGATCTAATGGCTTTTCAGAATTACATGTGCGTGAAAATGGATCAGGACCTGCTCACAAATCCCAGAATGGCCTTCCCAAAGCCAATGGTTTTAATCATGCTGATAAGGTAAAAAATTCCAATTTTAATTTGTGGCCTGTATATCATTAAAAGTGATCATATTTTCTCCATTGCATCATATTGCATCGAATCGCATTGTGTTGAATCGAATCGAAATCGGATAGCACTGCATCGTAACAGGGGTGCATCGCATCGGTAGCTGCTTCATATGTATCGTATCGTTGGCTATGCATCGAGATGCGCATCGTATCGGCCTCAGTCATGAGATGCACATCCCTAATATACATACCAACCCTCTACATTGCGAGTAAATCACTCGCATATGCGACTAAATCTCCACTCTGGCGACTAAATGATGTCTAATATTAGCCAATTGCTAATAAATTCTCAGATTTTACTCGCCAGTGTGTGAGTTGGAGGCTAAGTATAAGTTTAGCTCAGATATATTTTCACTCGCCGAACACTCTCTGACTGAGCGCATCAGAGTTTCACTCTCCAAGCGATCTGTGCTGTTTTTCAGTTAATCTAAATGGATGCGCAGCGCACCTGTATTTAACGTACCGTAAACTCTAGTGTGAAGGCGCACGACGACGAGAGGGAGAGAGAGAATTGACGCGCTACCTATGCGCGCTACATGTAAACGATATTCTTTGTTGTATTTTGCTGTCAAAATAACGGAGTTCCTTTGGAATTCTTCAGCTTTTAAGAAATGCCGGGTTTTCCGGTAGTGGGCGGAACTAATGCGCAAACAGCAATCTCATTGGCTGGCGCTCACCTATTATCGTCCCTATTTTGATTTCAGCAAATCAGTTCGAGCGAACGCACACAACCTGATTAATATTCATGAATCCAGTAGCTCATTAATCCTTAGTGCGTTTTATATTGTTCTTATTAGTAGAATTCGTATCATTATTATCTTATCAGTATTTTAGTTAGTTTTTCCCCAATTTTTTATTTTTTT